TGACTGCCACCCCCATCGCCCTGAGCCAGCACGGCCACTGGCGGGGGAGGTGGCGGGTGCGGGCTGCAGTGGGCCCTGGTGCTCTCTGCGGAGCGCGCCACTTACTCGGGAGTAAAATCAACCTGAACGCAATATCGCTGTTTGGCGGGGTCAAGGTTTCCTTTAATCTGGCCTGCCTCACAGGGCTGTTGTGAGGATCAGAAGGGAAGGAGGAAGGCCCTCCAGTCCTGGGCTGGATGGGGCTGGGCAGCGCCCCTGGGCTGCCACTGGCCCGGCGGGAGCCGTCCCACGAAGGCCTTCCCTGCGTTCCCGAAGGCCTGGTGGGCTGGCCGTCCGGCTGCTGGCCGTGCTCGCATCGCGGCCCTGCCCCTTTGCACTCCCTCCCTCCCTCCCTCCCACCCATCGCCCACTTGCCCCCCCTGCCATGCAGCGACAGAGGGCTGGGATGGTCCAGCGCCCCCAAATGGCTTTGTCCCTCTGCCACGGAACGGTTCCCAGCCGGGGACCCCTGGAACACTGCGGCGGCTCGCCCTGGGCCCTCTCCAGCGTGTCCTTCCGGCTGAATCGCCTCCACTGTTCACGGGCTGCTCTGCAGATCGAGTCGCCGGGGAATTACATAAATGTCATCCTTTCTTTTTCCTCTGCTTGGAGTTGGAGTTCATCCCAGCTTTCCCTGAACAATGCCAAATATGACTTCTGGTGCTTCTCCCCCGAGGACAGAACTTAAATGGAACCATACGCTGTCTTGACATGCTTGTTCTGTTTTTTCAAATGTATTTATTCCAGGCTTCTCCTGGGGTAAAGGGAGGGGACTGGAGCAATGTTGGACGGGGACGGCTGGCTCCTAAAGACGAGGTGAAGAGTGGGTTAGATCACGTTAATGGCAGAGAGCTTTCCGTGCGCATTTGCCGAGCTCGCGATGCAGAATTTCCCATCAAAACCTTAGGCAAAAGCTCGCTCTCTCCAGTGGGGTGTCCATTAGATTGCTGGACTGCATCACCCAGAAACCCCCAGCCACCGGTCAGGGAGTTGTGGGTCAGCACAGCTGGAAAGCTCCGAGTTGGGACCTCTGAGCTAAGGTCTGTGAAAGAGTTTAGACACTCAAAGATTTAACCCGTGGATCTTCCGGATTCATCTCTGGAGCGTCCGGGGAAGGCAACTACAACCTCCATCTGTCCCAGGTGCCGTGGCAAGGGAATCGTAGTCCAGCCCACTCTCTGGCAGCTGGGGGGCACCTCCCGTGCCTCACCTGGGCCTCTTGTTGCCACGGTGTTGAATCGGAGATTGTAAACTCACTGGGGCAGAGACTCGGGGAGCAAACAGCTGCCTGCCAACAGCACGGTCGGATCACAATGCCTCGTACGCGGGGTTACATTGGGACGCGGAGAGGCAGAAGTGCAGAAGTTCTGGGAATCCCGGAGCGGCTCTTTGCAAAGCTCAGCCCTGCCAGGACTAGCCCGCCCTGAGCCGGCGCTCTCGCAGCGGTGAGCGAGCGCCAGGAGGAGAGTGGCAGGTCTCTTTCTCTTCCGACTCTTTCCTTTCGGGTGGGGAGTGCGGTGGAGTGGTTCCTGCCGAGGAGTCCGGGAAAAGCCCGGAGAGGCTGCCCCAGAGCCGTGGCCAGCAGCTCCTCTGGGTGGGTGGGCTGCGCCAGGGGCTCCGGGGCAGCCTCTCTGGGGAATGGCATCACCCGGGGATGAAAGGCTCGTGGGCCATCCGCAGAGGAGGCCGTCTGTTGTGTCTCTGCATGGATCACTGTTCTGGCCTTGCTTGAGCGCCGCCTTGCCCTACAGCCCCCGATCTGCCCCTCACAGGGATGAAGCTGCTCCGGCTGGGTGCTTAATCCCCGTCCTCTCACTCCCCTCGTGTGGCCATGCCCCTTCCCCAAGGCACCTCCCCACCTGCCATGCCCCCCACTCACTTCTGAAATTCTGAATTTCTTCTGAAATTCTGAATTTTTTTCTCAAAAAGTTGGTTTCCTGGCAGTAAAAGTGGTAAGGCAAAATGTTCTTCTACCTTCTGGCTCTGCCTCCTTTGCCTTTGGACCAGCCGCCCAACGGACGGGGCCCCTCAGAGCTCTGGAATGGGATTTACTTGCACGTGTATTTAGTCCCCAGGCTCAAAGAAGGCCCCGCTCCAGCTTTCTCACGTGTCAGCGCCACAGAATGCGCAGAGGCATTCTATCCGGGCTGCTGTGCACGCTGCCAGGAGTTCCTGTCCTTAGGAATCCAGCCCAGGGGTCCCGCAGCAGGGTGGCTTTTCCCGAGTTGCGCGAATTCCGTGCCTTGCAGGCCGTTCCTCGTTCCCTGTGCCGTGAAAGAAGCCGCCCAGCCTGAGCAGGGGACGGGACCGATCCTGCACCACGTGTGTGCTGCTCCAGCTACCCGCTCAGCAGGACGTGATCGTCAGGCCCCTTGCCAGAGGAGCGACCCTTGCGCCCGGGCAGCGGCCAAGAGGCGGACTCGGCCCATCCCGGCGGAGCGGGGCTGCATCCAGAAGGGGGGCTGGAGAGCCCCGTGCTGAGCCCTGGACCCCAAGTGGAGGGCCTGGCTGTCTGTCCCGGGGCGCCTGCCACGCAATCACAGCGGCTCCGCCAGCCTGAGCGGTCCGGGGCTCTGAGCCGCGGAAAATGGCTCCCAAGGTATCCTGACTAGGGCATCCTTTGGCAGGGAAGGGCAAGCCCACGCTGACGGCCCGCTGCGGTTCTCGGTTCCTTCTGCTTTCTCCGAGCGCGTGGAGCAACGCTTGCTGAGGCGTGACGCAATGAGGGCTGCTCTGGGTGCATTTTTCGCAACAGACGACCGGGGCCGCCTTCCTCTTCGGGAGAGCCACTGCCCTCCCACGCCCCGTGTGCAGCCCACAACACCACGAAAGTGCCGGGCCCGGGAATGTGGAAACTGCATCGCAAGAAAGGAACCGGCACCTGCCCACGGGAGGGTGGCTGACGCGTCCCTGTAGGATTTACCTCTCCAAATTAGCACCCAAGCAAGCGTTCTCCTCCAGGTAGTGAGGACCTGGCGCGGCAGAGTTAGCCCTGGAGTTAAAAGGGGAGGAGGTTTGCCTTTGTGCCGCCCTCTGGAGGCCCCGTGTCCAGGCAGCGCGTCGATCTGAGGCCTCAAGACCTCGCGCCATCCCCACCTGCAGATGCTGCATCCAGTGGAGCCCAGGAAGCACCTTTGGTGCCACCAGACCTGGGCCCACCCACCCCTGGAGGGCCAGGCCGCCCGCGTGGCCGCTGCGGGAAGCAGGCGCTCGCCCGGTCGGAGCAGAGCCCTGCCCGGGCCACCTGTGCCGTGCGCATCCCGCTGCTGGACACGAGGCCGTGGGGGGGACAGCGCAGGCGGCTCTGGCTTCTCCGTCCTGCCTGGGGGCTTCGCCTGGTCGGTCCCTGTGGGGGGAGCCTTTGCTCCAGCGCAGCTCCTCTCATGACGTCGCCTCCCGTGCGCCTCTGGACCCCCCCTCCGGCAGGCACCAGCGCGATGCATCCGGCAGTCGGGGGGCATGTCTTGCAGGTGGGGGCAAGAGCCAGCCCCCTGCCTGTGGGGACGGGAGGTGCCCGGGTGGCTGGGAAGGGGCGGCAGCGGGGTGGGAGCGGGGCTGCTGGGAGGGTTCGGCTGCAGGCGGGTTGCCGGAGCTGGGTTTGCTCTCTGCCGCTCTCCCAGGATGCTGTTCGCGGAAAGCTTGGCCAAGCGTGCGGGCAGCCAAGCATCTCCAGGGAAACCGGGCCTAAAAGCAGGCAAGGAGGCGGCTACGAGGAACGCGCCGAGCGGGGTCAGAGGCACGCGGGACGTGGCCCGGCGGTCCGCAGTCCCCAAGTGGGGAGGCCAAGTCCAGCGGCTGGCGCAGGGGCAGCCCAGGCCAAGGGGGCGCTGCTGCTCGTTCCACCCCTCCTACATCGGACAAAACTCTCTGGGGGGGGGGTCAGAAAAGCCTCCTCTGCCCCAGGTCCAGAGGAGCTGTGGGGAGGAGGCAGGGGCCCACGGGGAGGTGGAACCAGATGGGCGGAAAGGCCAGTGCCGTGAGGCTAAGGGGGAGGAAGGGCTGGATCAGCCTTGTCTGGACTGCAGTTCCCATCATGCTGGCCAGGGGCGATGGGAGCAGTAGCCGAGCCCCTCTGGAGGGCACCCACATGAGCCCCCCCCCCCCCCAGCTGACCCACACACAGGCAAACCTCACGTCTCTGCCGGCCCTGCATGTAAAAATCAGGAGCGTTGCCAGCCGCCCGTGAGTCACCTCTGGCAGCGCCTTGTCAGCAGCGCAGCAAGAAGTGGCACGACAGCAAAGGGCTCTGGGGTTTTTCAAAAAACCTTATTTTTAGAAAATCTTGTTTTGCCGCATTACTGGCACGCTCTTCTCGGGGTGGTTCTACTCCCGTGCCACAACGGACTTGCAGGGTAGGGTAGGCTCAGGCAAAGCGTGTCGCTGGGTGACTGGCCCAGCCGACTGCGGGCGCAGACCAGGAAGTCTGCGGGGGGAAATTCTCTGTGCTCTTTTCGTTCCTGCTCCCTCTGGATTCCTGAACTGGGAGTGAGCAAAATCACCCGGGAAAGGGCTGTGCAGCCGCGGCTCGGCGAGTGCAGGAGGGGTGCCCCCCCCCGCGGCCCGTCCTCCCTCCGCCGCCTTTCCGCCTGCACAGCCTCTCCGCTCGGCAGTCGCGGGCTGTGCCCACGCAGCTGCCGAGCGAATGCCAGGCGCGGCCAGGGTGCCCACGCAGCTGCCGCTCGCAGCTTCACGGGTTGCATGGAGACGGCTGCCAGCGGGGGGGGGGCGCTCATCCCTCGGCGCGGCCGGGTGGCTTCCACCTCCCCTGTGGCTTTCGCAACGCCTCCGCGTGGCAGCCTGTCTGGGGGGGGCTGGCCCGGTGGTCTGACCACCCGAGGCGCTTCCCGGCGCAGACACCGGGCCCGGAGAGCCTCCCCGCGGCGTCCCTGCCCCGGCCGAGGGACCGGCTGGCGGATTCCCAGGCTCCTAACCCCCCCCCCGTCTCCCCCTCATGCGTGCAGTATGGAATAGTCCTGGACGCGGGATCGTCCCACACCGCCATGTTCGTGTACAAGTGGCCGGCGGACAAGGAGAACGACACGGGCATCGTCAGCCAGCACAGCATGTGCGACGTGGAAGGTGAGCAGGCAGCCCCCGTGGGCCCTGGGGTGCTCCGTGCTGCTTCGGCGGCTCTGCTCGGGGGCAACGCTCACGCCCCCCTCCTGCCTCTCTTCCCCTGCGACGTGCAGGCGGTGGGATCTCTTCCTACGCCGCAGACCCTCCGAAGGCCGGCCAGAGCTTGAAGGCCTGTCTCGACCAGGCGCTGCGGGACGTCCCGGTGGCCCGGCACATGGGGACCCCTCTGTACCTCGGAGCCACGGCCGGCATGCGGCTGCTGAAGTGAGACCCGCTCCCCGGCCCCTCCGCCCGCTGTCCCCGTGCCGCGCGGCCTCGTCCGGCTGAAGGATGCCCGGCGGATCCCTGCTGGGTGGGGGGAAGGCTGCGCTTCCCCACTGGGCCGGCTGGAGGCCCCTGCAGAGCCCGCGGGCTGGCCCTGAAGGCTGCCTGCCCCGGCGCCCCGCTGAGACCCCACAAGGACAGACCTCGCGCTTCGTCTTGTCCAAGAGGCCGGGAAGCGATTCCCCTGCTCTGGGAGGCCGAAGCTCCTCCCGGCAACTTTCCCTTCCAGCCGGCGAGCTTCAAGCGGCCACAGGCCGGTGCTGTGGCCACACCCCTTTGGCACTGGCCCCGCCCACTGCGCTGCAGCCCCCAGAGCTTCCCCCACATGGCATTTGGCCCGGCCCGGAAAGAGCGTCCCTGCCAGGCCGGGGTCGGGCGTGTTGCGGCCGCTGTGGATCCACAGGGGTCCCCACAAATCCGCTTCTCCCCTGAGATGTGTTTCCCACGCAGCCTCACGGATCCCCAGGCCTCGGACCGTGTCCTTGAGGCCGTGGCCGCCATGCTGCAGCTGTACCCCTTCAGCTTCCGGGGCGCGCGCATTCTGAGCGGAGAAGAGGAGGGCGTCTTCGGCTGGGTGACGGCCAACTACCTCCTGGAGAACTTCATCAAGGTGGGCCGGGGCCGGGGCCGGGGCCAGCGCGGTGGACCGCTCTGGGCCGAGGCCTTTCGAAATGCGCCGGGCAAGCCCTTGGAAAGCCGGACCCTTCCGGCAGCCCCGACTCCGTGGAGGAGCACGGCGGAGCCGCCAAGGAGCCCCTTGCGGAAGTGCACCAGGCGGGTGCTTCAACCAGCGTGCTTCCAACGAAGCAGCCTTGCTCTTGAAGGGGGGGGAGTCCGTGTCATGGCCCCGGGGCCCCTGCTGGCCCGGCCCCTGGGATGTGCTGGAGGAAACATGCCACCTGGGACCGTTCCAGAGGCTGTGTTAACTTTAATGTGGAGAGCAAGTTTCTTGTCCTCATGGAGCAACCCTTCTGAAACAAAGGCCGGGAACTTCTGGCTTTGTGAATAAGCCCGTCAGCGTGGCCAGCCTACAGGTCTTTTAAGAGATTCATTGCTGCCAGCAGGTCCATTAAAAAAAAGTAATAAAAAATAATCCTGCTTGCACATGGCAGGCAGAGTGGGGTGGAAATGACTCACTGCTTTTCTGTCGCCCCACGATGCTTCCATGCCGGCTGCGGAGGCGGAAGCCCCTTCTTCCTCCAGCGAGCGAGGAAACGGGGTCGGGATGGGGGCAGCGCAGTCCGCCCACCCTCTGCTGCCTGCTCCCTCGCCGCTGTTGAATTCCTCAGCATCTTACTGCTGCTCAGGCTGGGTACTAAGCGCGGAGCCCGTGCCAAAGGTCGGCCTGGCCGGGCACGTGCCAGGGGCCGCAGCTCAGCAAAATCCCTACGAGGCCAATCGCTCTGCACTCCCCGGCCACCAAAATCACGCACGACGCCAAGCTCTCTTCCTGGGCCGAGGTGTCGCAGAACCGTGGGCAGGCTTGGGAAGCATCGGCCGGCGACGCGGAATCGGCCCGGGAGTCTGCAAAGGGGCTCGGCGGGAGGCCCACTGAACCCGCTTTCCCCCCTCCCCTGTCTCCAGTACGGGTGGGTCGGGCGCTGGATCCGCCCCAAGAAGAGCACGCTGGGCGCCATGGACCTGGGCGGCGCCTCCACCCAGATCACCTTCGAGACGGGGCAGGAGATCGAGAGCCACCCGGCCAACCAGGTGGTGCTGAGCCTCTACGGGCAGCAGTACAAGGTGTATACCCACAGCTTCCTCTGCTACGGCCGGGACCAGGTCCTCAAGCGGCTGCTGTCCAAGGTGCTGAAGGTGAGGGCCGGGGCCCGCCCGGGCCGGGCGTGGGGGCACCTCTGGGCAGGGGGCTCTGGGGGGCGCGGCCGAGAAGGGGCATGGCCTGGAGCGCCCGGCCCCGCGGAGGCTGCCCCTGAGGAAGGGTCTTCGGGTACCTGGCCGTGCTGGGCGGGCCCTCCGGCTTTGCGTAGCCTCCCCCCTCGTAGCCTCGGTTGAGCCTCGGGGCCCCTGCATTCCTCCGAGCAGCCGTGTGATCGATCTGCAGGGTGTCCTTGCTGCTCTGCGTCTAGGAAGGTCCTCGGTGGTCAGGCATGAAAAGAAACAAACCTAGAAAGGAAACATTTCACATCGACTTGGGCCTGTCCGACCGCGGCTGGTCATTCAGAGAGCTTCTCTGGCAGGCGCTGAGCATGGGCTCTCTGAGGGGAACAGCTGTGGCTGAACCGAAGCCAGTGGCGCCGGCCAAGGAATTTCGGGCCCCGGACTTCACCGGACTCACTGTGTGAATTTCCCAGTGTGCTGGAGGGCCCAGCCCTGAGACGTGGCCACAAGTATTTCCGGTGAACAGCGGTGCCTCCCGAGGCCAGACGTCCCGAACAGGCTGCCTGGGGAGTGCAAGATGGAGATGGGGAGTGGGGGTTGCGCCTTCCCGTTTTGGATACCCCACCGGCCCCGCACCCTCTGCCGCAGCTGCTTTAAACTGTTTCTGCGTCCCCCACGGGCTGCAAATGGGCACGCACACACACACACGCACGCACACACACAACACGCACCCCCCGGATCATGTGTGCTTTTGTGGGAAAGCACAGCGCAGCCCAGGCAGGGGCGTTTGCCTCTTCCACGCTGCTCTCTGGGGGCCGTGTGGGTCCAGGGGGGCCGAGCTGGCCTCCCCTCGGTGCTCCTGCCGGATGGCCCGGAGAAGGCTCCGTCCGGAGCGGGAGAGCAGGAACAGGCGGCGATTGGCTCAGGGAGCCAGCGGGCATCCGGGCACCGCTGCGGGCCACACCTGGCTCCCGGGGCTCCGGGGGGGGGGGCTCAGCTGCCGGGCCTGCTGAGCGAGGCTCTCCCCCCCTCTCCGCCCAGGCCGAGCGGCACGCGCTGATGCTCAGCAACCCGTGCTGGCCCAGGGGCTACAAGAGCAACTTCACGCTGGGCAGCGTCTACGACTCCCCCTGCACCGTCGCGGAGAAGCCCACCAGCTACTTCCCCCGGGCCATGGTGACCATGGCGGGCTCCGGAGACGCGGCCCTGTGCCGCCGGCACGTGGAGAGCCTCTTCCAGTTCACTGACTGCCCCTACTCCCGCTGCTCCTTCGACAAGGTCTTCCAGCCCAGCGTGCAGGGGAGATTCATCGTGAGTACCTGGCCGTGGCCGACAGGCCGTGGCACCAGGCGAGGCGGCTCCCCGGGAGGGCGGCCCCGGCCGGGATTCGGCTTTGGGAGAAGGCGTCTGGCCGTCAGGCTGCTTGATCATCGTGGTGTCTCGGGAGAGGAGCTGCGCTCCGGAGGAGCGTCCCGAGTCTGAAAACCAGGAGGGCGGAGGGATGGCCAGGCTCACCCCGTGCGCAGCCCTTCTGTTGTCCCAGAGAATTTATTCTTCTGTATTCGATATTTGCTTCAGGGCTTCAGGAAACAGTTACTTTTGGGCTGCAGGGGAGAGGCTGGGGGCCTGGAGGGATGCGCCCTTTAGTACTTGTGTCGTAAAATGAAAAACCTACTAAGCTTGTAGTAGGAAAAATCCACTAACTCCTTTGCCCCTTTGCGCTGGCTTCAGCGTGGTCATCCGGGGGCTGACTGCCCGGTGGCTCGCTCGCTCTCCTTCGAACAGGCCTTCTCCGCCTTCTTCTACACCGTGGATTTCATCCAGTCCGTCATGGGGAGACACGTCGTGACGCCCAGAGACCTTCAGGACGCCTCCAGCGACATCTGCAACACCACGTGGGCCGAGGTGGGCATCTCAGCGGATCGCTTCCTGCCCGTGCAGTTCTGAGACCCTGAAAGATTCGAGTATGAAATCCAGTTGAGACTGGAAGGCGGCATTGTGTGCAGGGAGAGTGCTGGGCAGAGCGGGGAGGTGGCCCCCGGGTGGCTGCGCTGCAGCTTCCAGGACCGACACACAGACCAGAGTGCGCCAATGTGAGAATAACTGCGCTTTGTCACACTCAGAGGGTTGAAAACGCACACGGAAATGCTCTTGGCCCAAAATTGCCCTTCCCTTTTCACCCCGCTTTGTAGACAACTCGCTATTCCGTGGAGTAACAGCGGTGGAAGAATAATTCTAGGGCTGCCTCGAAGGCCACGCTCATGAGTGGGAAGTAAACAGAGTGTGTCCAGAGCAGAACTAAGGCACCTGCTCTTCCCTCCCTCCCTCCCCGTCCCGTCCAGTTGCTTCAGAGGGCGCCGGACCAGGAGAAGAGGCTGGCCGACTACTGCGCCAGCTCCACCTTCATCTATACGCTCCTCACCAAGGGCTACCAATTTGACCAGAGCGATTTCTACAACATCGCTTTCCAGAAGAAGGTAACTCTTATACCTGGGGGAGACGGAGGGTCCAAATAAGGTTGAATTTCTCAGATCTCCTCTGGATTCCACAGAGGACTGACTTTTCTAAGTCGCATGTTGCATTCACTTGTGGACCTTTAAAGAAAAAGCTTTCTGGGGGAAGTCGAGAAATTCACGGCCAAGCTGATGCCCTTTGCCCAAGGGGAGCAATTCTCTCACATGAGCCGATGATGGAATAAAGCAATCCATAAAACAGATGAAAGAAATACAACGAAATCCCTGGGCGGACATCCCTAGACAGATACAAGGGTGGAACATTAAAAGTGAGGACTAGAAACTTGGCGAGGCTGTGTGTTGAAATAACCAAAAGCTCTCTGGCAAAGACTGAAATCTGCAGAATGTCTGTCTTTATGTAGCTTAGACTGTTTCTTCTTCACTTCACTTGTTCTGCTTCTTTGCACAACCAATCCACTGCAAAGCTCATTGCTTCTGCTCGTTGTGGAGAGCAGCAGGGCGGCCAGTGCTCCCCGACCGCAGGGAGTCTTCCGTCCCCACCATGTGGGCTGGGCTTCCGTGCGGCACGCTTTCAGGACTCCTCGTGGGCCGGCGAGAGCCAGTGCAGGGCGGAGGCGGAGGGCTGGACCAGCCGGGGGGCTTCCTGGCCGACTTTGGCCGGCCTCTCAGCCCAGCGCAGGTGCTGGTTGTGAGGGCAAGATGGAGAGGAGAAAGGGGGTGCTACACAAGGCGCCTTGAGAGGGAAAAGGGGGTGTCCAGGTCACAAGACAAATCCCCCCGGCTGGGCTGCCCTCGCGAGCGCAGCTGCAGGCGGGCGACGCTCCCTTGTTCCCATGCAGGCGGGCGACACCTCGATCGGCTGGGCGCTGGGCTACATGCTCAACCTCACCAACATGATCCCGGCGGAGGAGCGCGGCTTCTGGAAGGGCACCGAGTACGGCCCGTGGGTGGGCCTGGTCCTGCTCTTCGTCGCCATCATCCTCGTCACGCTGGGCACCATCTTCTGCCTGCTGAGGTCCAAGGAGCGCGGCGTCATGTAGAGGCGGCCCGGCCGCGCAGAAGGGCGGGGGGCTCTGCCTGGCATCCCCGGTCACGGCACCTGGGGGCGCGGCCTCTCCCCGTGGCACATGGGCTCCCCAGTCACAGTCGGGCCCCTCGCTCCTCCGTCCCCGCCGCCGCCCTCGTAGCCAGAGCCCCTCAGAAGAGGGCCCTGGAGAAGCCGTCACCAGACAATGTCTCGAGGCTGCAAGGGGGTCTCCCGCGGTCTCCGGCCTGCGAGGCTGCCCCGCGCCCCCGACTTTCCCGGACTGGTGACACGGGGGGCACGTTCGGGAGCAGAAGGCACTGCTGTCCACTCAGGCAGGGTTTTCTGGGCCTGACCAGCCTCCCCCTCGTCCGTCTGCTGATTTCCGAGGCTCAGGGATCCCGAGGTAGATTTCTGCTATTCGCAGACCTTGCTGCCGCCTCCGCAAGGCTCTAGCCCCAGTGAAGGAATTGCACGGGGAGGAGCGAGGCGGGACTGCCTTTGACCTCTTCTGGCGTTTACTCGGGGTGTGGCAAGCCATGGGGGGGGGTGGCACCGAAGTGGGGACACCTTTGAAACCCCCCCCAGTTTGTTTTGCAAAATTGTGTCTCTGTGTGCTCACGCGTGTGTGTGCACACGCCTGCCCTCCCTTCGCACTGGGGAAGCCTCCGGGGTGCTGAATTCAGATGCCCCAAACTGCTTCCCCTGAGAAAGCTTCATTTGTATATATTTTCCCTACTCCTAAGAGTAAACCTATTTAAGTGGCTTCCCTACACACCCCAACTCTCACTGTAGGACGCGGGCTTTGTAAAGGCATCGTCCTCCCCTGGAAAGATTCTTCCGGAGGCAAATGTTACAGGAGGTTCTTCCTCTGTTTAGCCATGGATAGCCATAAGTGATGCTACACACGTGTTCCTATACACACACACACACAGAATTTTAGCTTGTCCCGTTTTGCTGAATGTCTCCTTCCGCCCGTGCCCGGAGCCCACACACCCAGGAGGAAAATGGAGAGCCGCACGAACAATCGCCGCTCCCTTCAGGCAGCTGTGCTGCACCCCAGGCCAGTGCGCCGATGTGGGGCTCGCGTCCCGCTTTGGCCCTCCCGTGCCAGGCGCCACTCGCAGCAGCTTTTCGGGCTGCTTCCCTTGCCCTAAAGGGATACGACGCTGCGTGGCTGGCACTGTGAGCTCTTTTGTATTTTAAGGAATTTTGGTTCCAGCCTACCTTTTGTAACGTTTTGGCCCTGTCTGGCCCTGTCTGCCCCGGGGCCAGCCCATCGCTGGGGGACCAGGGGGCCCAGCCCCGCTGGGGGATCCGAAAAGCAACTGGGGTGGCACAGAATGCTGGGGAAGGTTGTAGCTCAGGCTTCTTGGAGCTCCTTTGGCGTTTCGGGGGTTCCTCCCCCGGCTTCAGAGAGGGGCCCCGGTGCGCCTGCTGGAACCTGGTTTCACAGGTTGTGGGTACCACACAAGCCAGGAGTCTGGCCTCGTGCTCTCTCCTGGGATGGAGCGCCCCCCCCACCTTGATGGGACGGCCCCCCTGCCCATGTTCCCACCCTGGGTAGTGTTGACACATGTGAGTGCAGTGGTGGGTGCCTCCAAAAGGAACTACACTACCCAAGATCCTTTGGGTACTGTACGGCAGCTGAAATGGAACAAAGTCAAAATTCCAGACGGACAGAGAGATACCTTGAAACTTGTGGACTTGATTCAAAATGAAGGAAGAGCAGGGCCTGAGAGGAGGAAACGCGCGGCGTTCTTAAGGAAAACTGGACTTCTTTGAGGACTGGGCGCAGGACGGGGGAATCTGCTGGTTTTCATCATTCCACGTTTCCCTGCACGGGCAAGAGCCCAACCCGATTGCAGACGCGCCCATGTGTTCTTCCAACAGCATAAAGCTGCGTTCAAAGGATGTTTTATCTGTCTTATTTTAAATATGCAAAGTGATGCCTGGCTTTTAGGAATAATAAAAAATATCTATATCTTTCTTGTGGCTATTGAGGTTCAGAGCATCTGGCGAGTCGCAGGTGGCTCTGGCGGTGCCCGGGGCTGCGGCCGAGAGCACGTGCTGCCAAAGACTCTTCTGCCATGACCAGCAGTTCCTCGAAACGGCCCTGAACTGGTTCCCACGCTGTGCTCGCTAGAAGCGCTGTTTTGCACGGTGTGGAAGGGGGCCTATCTGGACTGGGGCTCCTGTGCTAAGAGGGCTGAACGCTGGTGGTTCCGTGGGCCTCCTCGGCAACACCTGCCCGGATCGGTCCCAAGGCCTTCGTATCCCGCATGCTGTTCCCACAGGGGCAACCAGATGCCCTGCAAAGAGGATGTTTCAGAGCCAGGCCTGAGCTGGGTTTTCTCGGGCTTCTGTTACTCCACAGATGCCCACGGGGGCCTCGTTTTACCTGTTGTGCCCTCCTCAGCCTGCAGCCTCCTGGCTTCCCACACGTCACAAAGCCCAGGGGAAGATGCCGCACGGTCCAGGTCTGGAGGCGCAGGCAGCCTGGGAAGCTGCAGGGGTGTGGGATGAAGCCCAAAGACGCACCTGCGCCCTTGGCCACGCGCCGTGATCAGCTGCATTTGGAAATACTGCCCCGAGAATGAGGGGGAGCGATCCAAATTGTTCTTAGCAGGGAATACTGTTTCCGGGAAAGGGGAGGGCAAATTTAGGGACCCTCCCGGCTCCGTCTTTTCTTTGCAGCTGGACGCAGCCCCGCTGCCCCCACCCCTGCAACGCGCGGGGTGCGAGACGCAGGGGCAGCCAAGCCACCCACGCCACCGGCACCTGTGGCGGCGGCGCCAAGAAGCCTTCCGGAAAGAGAAACAAAAAGGAAGCTGAGGCAGGACTCCAGGTGAGCCCCACCTGAGAAACTCTTGATGATGCGCCCCTCTTGGGGAACGTTGGTGCAATGGTGCCCCCACCCCGAATTTCTGTACCCACTCGGGGGTGGGGCGGTCAAGAGGCCATTCGTGCGCATCGCCCATGGGAAGGGTGCGCTTTCCTGGGATCCCGGAGCGCGCACTCCTCGTCCTGGCCGGGAGATGGCGCCGTTGCGCCATCGGAGACGAGCCGGGCCCCGCATCCGGAGCTGCCCGACCGAGTCGGAGCTTTGCCCCGCCTTGCCCCGGGCTGGCGGCCTCGCACGGAGATGCCCCTGGAGGGCGAGCCGAGGAGCTTCGCCATGCGCGCCTCTGCGCTTTGGGCCGGTCTTCAAAAGGAAGCCAAGATCCAAGTCCTTAAGGTTCTAAGCAGAGGGCTGTCATAACCTGGGACGTTAGAAGCCGCCTCGTCCCTCGTCTGCTCCATCTAGCCCAGTGCTGCCAACTCTGACCGGTGGCCGCAGCTCTCCAGGGTTCCAGGCACAAGTTTTCCCAGCGGTGCTTGGAGGTGTCAGGAATTGGGTCAAGGCCCTCCAAGGGCGGGACAGGCCTCTCACCAAGGAACTGAGGCCTGCGCTGTGTCGCCCTCTTGCACTGGGGGCGCACGGGATGCGGCGTTCCCCCTGCATCAGCGTTGCTCATGTGTTGGATTTTATTCTGCCTGATCCATACATGCCGTCAGGACGATCGCTAAACCCCGCCCCGCCCCTCCCTGGCAGAACAAACCAGCAAAAGCAAATAAACTGCAGCTACGCAGATATCGGAGCGGTGCCCACGCTAAGAATATCCGTAAAGGCTGCCCGCTCCCTGGCCCAAGGGCCTCGCTGGCCGAGGGCCTCCACCGAGGGGCCGCCCAAGGCCCGTGCTCGCGGGCGGGCGGGCGGGCGGGCGGGCGGCGGGGGGCCGCAGGCAGGGGCAGGGCCCTCGCAGACTCGGCCCGGCAGGCGAGGCCCCCAGGCGCTCCGCAGGGGGATGTGCGGAGGAACGGACCGTCCCCGCCGGGGCCGCGCGGGCAGCGTCGATGCGCAGCCGGTGCCGACGCGGCAGGGGGCCGCTTGAGCGCTGCAGCGCGGGGCGGGCGCGCTCCCTCGGACCGGGCACGGGCGGCGGGCGGCGGGCGGGCGGGAGCGGCGGCCCCTGGCC